TCATGTTCTTTAACAAAGTTCAATTAAATTTCACACTTCTTTATAGTGCTAAAGCTATAACAGGGAGAATCTTTAAGCACTGAATCTTTTGATCCTCAATAAAAGAATTTTTATTGAGCTTAAGAAGACTGTCAAGTGCACACAGACATAGAAGTAAAGTAAATATGCACACCAACATAATCGGAATTAGAAACAAGAGAAAGAAGCACGGTTCCTGCTGTTTGATGTCATGAAATGTATTAAATGGTCGGAAAGAGCGTCACCTTCCTCAGCATTATACTGTCTGATGACCATATAAGCAGGAAAGCATTTAATTGTAAGCATACAAGTATCGACAATTTAATAATTTTGTTGGGCAAGGATTTCACTGATGTTCGTGGCGGCGAAGTGAGGTGGATAATTAATAATCCTGGTTAACAGAACTAATTTAAAAGGTTTGGAAGTTATCCACAAAGCCCATATCTATCAATCAATGACATACGAACTGAGTTTTGTCTTAAAATGATTTCATCTTCTGATGTCAGTTCATTGAAAGCTTTCTGTGTCAAAATTCAACATCTGTGCATAGACGCCATTCACCCACTTTATTTATATCATTTTAGGCTATCAAAAGATAGTAACATACAACTTACACCCATCATAATCACATTAAGTTGTAGCTTCATATTTCTGAGATATCCGATACAATAATAAATAAACAACTCAGTGCTTTCTCTTTTTAGAGGTTCATCAGTGAATATCAGACTGTGGCCACAATTATTTCAGTCGTCTTTTTCTTCTAAGATCTGGTAACTTTCTACTTTCCCCACTTCTGGTGCCAGATCTTTAAATTTATTATAGGAAACAACAGTTTACTCATATATGTGATAGTTTTCAGCTTTTATTTAAATTTTGCTTAATCCAACCTTGTGTTGAATGCAAAGTTAAACATCCGCTATTTATCACGTCAAGATGCGAGGTTACTGAATAGTGAGAGAGTAAAAGAGAGAGAAAGCTGTAGAGGAGAACTACTCTCTAGGCAAAGTTTAATTTGTGAGCGATGCATAATTTAAAAAAAGAAATGAAATAAAACCCAATAATGAAAATAAAACAGATCCGAATCAAATTTCACGCGATCTACCGACTTTGGGTGAATTACTTTGAAATAATAAGAATGAAAGATATAAATTAAGATAACCAAATCGTAAAATTCAATCTATCATAAACGACTAGACGGAAAAATAAATAAACTACGTTGATGAATATGATTAAATCTTAGAGTATTTTAAACGATGGAAATAATGGATCATATAGCTACATAAAAATGAGAATCTTGTTTATAAAACTGTCTAGGTTTTTATTTTATGATTTGAGTGTAACCAGCTTAGACGTATGGCTTATACTACATCTGTTTTAAAGAAATGATGTTCTAAATGGGAATTAAATTAGGCTGTTAACTACCATCATAATCAACGTTATACATTATTGAGCCGCTAGTCAACCATCACAAATCAGAAATCAGAAATGTTTTATGAAGATGATCCCCCCCCCTAACAACGTGAGTTTAAGTTAAAAGTAACATCCAAGCACTTAGTCTAAGAGGTTTCCTTGCTTATTCGATCAATATAATATGATAAATACCAAGGAACAAAAATCATGATCTTGGTCACTAATCAGCCATAGATGAGTGTAAAATGTTTATTTAATGGAATAATTAATCTTTTTGTTGATTACATTTCAGGAGAACCCGATAATTGGTAGTTTTCTCGTACAACTAAATATTATTTGACCAAATTATTAAATGTTATCCTTTGATAATCAATGAGTTAGTATTTTGCTCCTTGCTTACGTAAATATTTAACAGTTCGACTACTTTACTTTCGTTTTATTTTCTACTATTTGGTTTATTAATCAATAATCCTTTTTTTAGTGCTGACGTCATTACATAATCATTTAACAGTAAGGTAATAGATAAGATGCGATTTTTAATGTTTGATTAATCTATTATTCTACAAGTACCAGAAAAGAAATTATTTAAGATTTTTGGTTGACAAATACAATTGAAGGTGTAAAGTGATAAGAATTTGAAACTTAATATTGTTCATAATCAGAACTGGTTTCTCTTACTAATCTCTAGTGACATAAACGTATATCGAATTAATCAAAGCTGGAAATACAAACCGGTTTTCATCGACTGTGTGGTGATGGTTGCGGACTGCTGAGGAATATCATAATAGGACGAAACAGCTGTCCAGTGTATCATGCATTTCCATGGTTGTTTAATTAAGATCAGTTTGTGTTTTTATTTATTTATTTAAACACATAAATATTGGTACAAGGAAGCACCAGATAAATATGCGCCTCACAAATCTCATTCGATTTGTGTGAGGGCTATGATACTGTCCAGATGCCCAGACTGAAGCAGGCGGTTTTCTTAGGAGGCCACATCCGGAGCCTTTGACCTGAAGGTCTAGTCCACAAGGCAGTGGAGCATCGTAAGGAGATACAGTCCCATGGTAGCCGGTGACCAACAGTTGGTTCATACGCCATTCGTCCCTTCAGGATACTGGAGCCCATGTGCACCAATGGTTTGGAATCAGGGTTTTCCAACTCCTCTAGGTGGATCCTCCACATCCACCAAACCGGTTAAAGCGTCGGACATTCGCTTTTCGTCCTCTCACTTTTGTGAACAACACCCCCGCCACGAGAAGGCAGTGAGTGGGACTTCCCTGGCAGAGGCTATATATTCGCGTGGCCATATGAGAGAATTTCGAGAGGAAGAGCAAATTCTCCCCACTGTCGGCCGTACCAGGGCATTTGAGGGCAGTTTGTGTAGTAAAACTGCACAATATGTTTGGTTGTTCAATGTATACATGTGTTCGTTATTCATATCAATAATTTAATGGTTAACACTTAATGATATTTACAATATTGGGTAATCCTTAAACTGAAACTTACATCATGGATCGAACGTAGTTGGACAACCACTGAAATTTGAGAAGTACTAGTTAGTTGTTTCTCCCTAGTTTAGGACTCCTCAGCACTGAGGACCCACTTCTTCTATTAGAGACTAAACTCAACATCATCAGGTTCCTATGTGAACACTTAACCAGTAGACCACAAAACCAACTTTCAGTGATGTACATTTACAACATCCAATTAACTATCTTCCAATGCCATTGCTGTGAGATCTGATGATCATGTTTTAGGTTCTTAATGGGGTCTTGGATATTAACAGTCAAAATGCTCCATATTAAAGCTAAGCAACTCTCCAGGGTTTCATGGTCATCAACTGTTATATAAATAAACTCTATCTATAAATAAACTACAAAATTTAACAATCTTTACAATCTCATTTGTCACAGTTATCAATTCGCAAAAGCAAACTAAATTGAATAGTTCAAACAATGTACTTGTTATTAAAGTTGAAGGTTTCAAAATCAGTTCTGAAGAAGATTTTGATCTTACAGAAGACGTTTTTTATACATTCGGGAATTCATTTATAACAAAGAGTTTTATTCAATGTTTTCTTCACTTTTTTCCTGCATTTACTTGTTTAGTGTTTTCGAACTTTTGAGAAATTGTAATTTCCATTCCACTTACGAATGAAATGACACGGATTTCACATAATTAGTAATGATCTTAGTCTATACAAAGTTTCATATATTTTCAAACTACACTCAAAATAGTTAATTTTGAATCGATTACATATTCCATAACTCATTATTTTAGTCTGTTTTAATCCTGAAGATGTAGATGTCGAAATTGTATTTATACTACTAACATTATAGTAAGTTTTAACTTTATTCTTAATGTTTCATTTAAAGAAAATATATACTTTGAGAGTTTTATTTTTGGATAATGATTAAGATTGAAATTAAGAGCCAATATTTACTCCGTATTGAGATATATCTTAATTTTAGTGTATATGTCTTTAATGTGTTCTAAATGAGGTAATCATCTCATTGAAAAGCGAAACATTGTCGATCAAATTATTAATCAAAGATAATCGTCAGAGTGTTCCACAAGTTTAGTACCTGTTAGTCATTATAAGAATCAGCGATTTCCTGTTACTGGGATGAGTTATTGAATATGATCAATTACTATCATTACAAAACAACATATCTATTGAAAAAGTTGACAGCTATCAAAACTTAGAAAAATTCTCTAGAATTTATAACTATAAACAACAGGACCACGTAGTATTGTGCTGACAGCTTTGCGTACAATGTTTAAATATTCATTACTGAGTCATATACATTTAATTACTTACATATAGCTAGAAGAACTCATCTCTGCCGGAATCATCCGCTTACAATAACTTGTCTCCACCATCATCATCATCATCATCATCATTATCTTTGCATAAATGATCTGTTATTGAATAAATCAAATTTTTTAACTGTCTAACAAACTTTAAAAAAAAAGGTTTACATAAATAACCAATCAATGAAAATTTTAAAATTGCGGTCAAAATAATTTCGAGGGTGTACTTTACTTTTTCTTAAATATAAATAAAATTTGACAAAAAGAATCATCCATAATACAAAGATGATATAACTTGTATAAGTTTACCTCATGACATATATATATTATTTATTTATTTATTTTAAAAATAAATATTATACATAATGCAATTATGTAATAATTAATTATATCTCAGTCTATTTGTTTAATAAATTACAAACAATAGAATAATAATATATTTGTAATATCTCAATGAGTAGAAAGATGAAATTTTTCGACATTTCGTCACTCAGTGTAAGACACTTCTTCAGAGAATAAATAAATCTTAGAGTATTTTAAACGATGGAAATAATGAATCATATAGCTAGATAAAAATTGAGAATTTTGTTTATAAAACTGTCTAGGTTTTTATTTTATGATTTGAATGTAACCAGCTTAGATGTATGGATTATTTGTTGTCTGAAGAAGTGACTTAAACTGAGTGACAAAACGTCAAGAAATCTAATTTTTCTTTTCATTAAGATATTAATTTTATTTATAACAATCTACTGAATGCTCAATTTATTCAAAATTATCAAGTCAAATTTTGATAATGATATCTATAAATAATACAACAGTTTATGTATCCATCTTAACTAACAGTTCATTGTGTTCAATAAGAGATTGTTTGTTTGTTTTCTTATTATTATAATGTATGTGTGTGTGTGTGTTGTTATTGTTTGAAATGTTCCTCAGTTTGATTTTTGTATCCTTTAAATGGATAAAAAAAATTTTATTCCCAAAAAAAAGAAAATTATTTTTTTTACATATTGAATTTATCTATAAATAATAATCAATTAAATTGTATAATTAAATTAATTTATTTTTTAATAAAAAAAAGAATTATCATAATTAAATTGATTTGATGTGATTGGATATTGATTTATTGAATTATTATTATTTGAATAAGGGGGAATTGAATGAAGATTTATTATAGAATTAGAATATTTTGAATGTTCTATTGAATGATTATTAGTTTTATGATTGAATAATTGATTTGAATGATGAATAGATAATGTATCATTCAATTTATAATGAGAAATATTTGTAGGATTTGGATAATAATTAGTAATTAATCTATTAGTAGTAAATAATGGTTCATCAAAAGTTTTTATATGATTATTATTATCATTATGAATTAATGGTTCAGTTTGTTCATTACCAGTTAAATTAGTTGATGATGTTTGAATTGGAATACCATTTTCCATAGTTTGAAAGCTAAAGTTTTATTTTGAAAATGAAAAAAAAAGAAAACAAGCAAACAAACAAAATTTTCATCTTTTTTATTTATTCTGTAGATTTAAACAATAACAAGTATTCCTAATAGTCAGTGTTTCAATATCTGAATGGGATTGGTGAAGATTGTAGTAATTTTAATAGTTGAATTCATGAGTTGTTTCAAGCCAGACCACTATTGAAAACCTTGAAGCACTAGACGGCTGTTTTGTCCTAGTATGGAACTCTTCATCATCTACGATGAAAAATTTGTAACTTTTTAACCAATGTACAAAATCTTTTGATTCTTGTTTTATTCCATAGATGAGACAGTGAAACTGAATATAAAACAAGAATAAGCTCAATCTGACCAGCCTTTTAATGCTGTTTTAAGAAAAGCTTATAACTTTTTAACTAGTGGACAAAATCTCTTGATTTGATCGATTAAAGTTATATATCAACACTGGTAGATGCCGGCTCAGAGGTCTGGAGCTTGAATTTTCGCGCGCGAGACTGAAGGTCTTAGGTTTGAGTCTTGCAAGCATGATCGTTCCCATACCTGGTTATTCAGCGTTTTTGTTAGTCCGTATTTTAATCATAACAATATTTATTACCAGTTCATTTGTTTCATAAAGTTTATCAATCTTATGTGCGATTCATATTTTCATTTAAAACTTTTTACTCACTTAAGTTGAGGAACATCAGGAAAAAAAATGGTTTCACTTGTATGTAAACGAGCTGATGTCAGCAAAATAATTTTACACAATCTCCCTAGCAAATACACTAACTGAGTTCCTCTGATGTAACTTGCAATGTTAATATATATAAGTTATTGAAGATCACAGTTCTGTTCAAGTAAATTAGACATCTCAGTAAAGGTTATGATGACAGTGAAAAAACCTTTTGACCATATATCTTAATAAAAATATTGAATGGGTATTTTTTTCAGTATACTTCAGTCGTTAATTCACTGTCCCAATAATTTCTGATGAATAGAGTTCAAGATAATCGTATGTGTATGCTGTTCTATTAAGGCATGATAGCATTACGAGTCAACTGGGAAGCCGAACTTTTGATGACTCTCTGAGATTCGTTGAATGATCTCAACAAGAATATGACTGGTATAGTACTACTCACTTAAAACATTTTTACGAAAACAATATTTCATAACCACATAGGCGTATTTATTAAACAAAGTAATATAAAACTATACAAATAACCATTAACAAGTGTTGTTTTACATTAGTTTTATTACTTCAACAACATGAATAATAAAAATGGCGTCAAATTTCAACTAGGAGATATTTGAAAAACATCACCTTTTGTATCGGTCATATAAACAAATAATGGCAATTCTCATATTGTAAGTTAGAACTATATATAGATAAGTAAACAATGTTGGAGTCTGATTGAAGACATACAAAAAGAAAATTCTTATTTGATAATCATGTTCGGCATGTTTTTGAATTTGATACAATCACAACTTAACTAGTCAAAATTTAAGGAGATAAGTTTAATTTACGGATATAAAATTTGTTCATATCAAACAGTTAAACATTTAAGATCCTTATCGATACTAGTAGATTGTGAAAATTGCATTTATCATGAATATATTACTATTACCATCCATATACTTACATTAGACATGAAAACTTGTTGTTTGGCTGTGAATCATATCATTCATACTGGAAAAGATGGGCTATGGTTTGAGTTTGTAACCAAAATGATTAAAAGTTTGCGCAATCATCAATAAGCAAATGTATTTGAGAAACTAAATTATTTAGCCTAAAATTTGTAATTTAAGACACAAATTCATTCGGTTCAATTTTTAATGCGAAGTCATAGGTTTGTACTGTCAAAAGTTCCCAGATAAAAACAAAGTGTCACTCTGATTTTCAATGTTTTTTGACGTTAGCAAATGATGTCGACCAATATCTCACAATAGGTTCTTGAAATTTTAAAAAGAGAGCTCAATTAGTGTAGTTCAAACATGTTAGGGATAAGATATTTATTATTAATGAAGTTGAATGTTAACAGATAATTGAAGTTTGGAATATAAGCCACTGGATCCTCAACTAAAAGGCCTAAGGTTAGTGTACCCAACTAAAAAAAACTATTACTGAGATCTGACTACAATAGGAACATATGTTGATCACTATTGAAATATACATATCACCAATTGTCGTATATAGTCATTGACTCGACTCGCATTAGTGGTTAACGGAATTAAAAAGTCAAACACGTGGATGGATTTCGAATAAGCATGTTTTGTACAATCATTGACCGAAACAGAAAATTAGAAAGGGATGAAGCGAAGGTAGTGAAGAAGAGAAAGCAAAGCGAAACGACGAGCAATGTAGAAGGCATGCGAGCCATCTCGATTTAACTAAGCGTTGATCGATATTTATAGCCGAGCAAAACTAAGTTACAGACATGTGATGAATAAGATTGGATATGAACGCATACGCTTACATGAAAACAGTCAAGGTTGATAAGCGAATAATTAACAAAGTCAAAATGTGGTTTAGGAAGAATGAACATATTGATCAAAATAGAAGCTAGAACAATCTGTTTGAGCTTAACATAGCAACTATAATACCAGTTCATGATTAATGCCCTCACCAAATAAGTGTTTAGGTTAAACGTTATTCACTTACCCATTTAACAATTCATCATTAGTCGGCATTAATTGATCATAAAATCTTAAACCAGTTTCATGAAATGTATATGGTATTGTCATTGAGGTTGTTTGCTCATAAAATGATGGTAAATAATTAGTATTCTGTTCAAATGTATTCACATCTATACAATCAAATGGATAATTCATAGATTTACCAGGAATTGAAACATTAGTTATATCTGGTGGAGATTTTTCCACTATACTAGTATGATAACCATTTGTATTATCATTATATGTAGTCATTGGTTTTGTTGTAATCGTAGATTTCTTATTGAAAACTCGACAACTACTACCATTACGTGATATAGTAAATATGACAGAAATCAATACTGTACATATAACAAAAGTAATTAATATAATACAAATAATAATAAATTTATTGGCATCTACATTGAAATTAGTAAATAATGATGTGGTCAATTGTTGACCAGATGAATCCTGTTGATTTAATGCATTAAAACGAAACATATTCGTTGGTCTATCTGATATTTTTATAAAAATCGTCGTTGTTGTGGTCTTAGGAACTAATCCCATATCTGTAGCCAAAATCACGAGGGGTATAGTTCCCTAATAAAGAAGAAAAGACAATTAATTAATCACTTGCTTTATAAAAATACATTATTCAATGTAGAGGATATTTAGGAATATGATTCCTAATACGATATAATTATCTTTGAGAGTTGGATAGTTCATTTGTGAATAAAACGTAATTGTTTTAGACAGCATTGTAGTGAAGAAGAAGACGAATGAGGACAATCGAATGCATTTAGGCACAAAAATTACAGAATATCTCACCAAAATCTGATAATCATTCAGTTAACAGTTAATTTGAAAACTATCAATCAATTGTCTCAATCTTGACTGTTCCTTCTACGAATATCAGTCTATCGTCTCTGATTTCATTGTTCATGCATTTTTATACCAATTGCATTTCGTTCCCGTTCTTTTCTTACCGATCTTCTAATGAAATACATTTAATGCTCGACCATCACTATATACTACTAATGTGGATATAAGTAATTCGCACCACAGCATCACTAACACACACTTATAATGTTATGAATGCTTTATGATTAAACCATTCAGTTTTGAGATGATTTCACCACACTAGCGGTTGTCCGTATAATTTCAAAATACGTCAAATATATTGATCCTTATCAATGTCTTGGTTTGGTTTTTAAAATATTTCGTTGGATGTAGTGCAGATGAGAAATTCATCTACCAACTAGTGAATGAGTATACTGTGTAACAGTATAAAATGATATATTCTATTATATGCAGGTGCTGATGATGTTTCGATGGGGACGATGAATGTCTACCAATTGAAACACTTAGTCCAGAGAATGTAACATCACCAGATGGTAACCACTAGAATGTAGTGTAAGAAACATCTCAAGTGTTGTCAGGAAATCTTCTCTGCCTTGAAACTTCTCACAAGAAAATACTTTAAACTCCCGTTACGTGAATTTCATTTGGCCACATGAAATGCAAATAACCTAAAAGTACAGCAACTAACTTATTACTGAGTTACTTAAGTTGGAAAATGTTGGTTAATTTCGATGACAACTGTTGTAGACTTTTTTTCTCCCCAAAGTAATAAAATAAACATTTCTTGGAGGGCTTAGTCGGAAGTATGATTATGTTTCAGATCACTAATATTCATAAGAATATCGATTACCCCATTCAATGTTAGTAGCAACTACTAATGAATAATATAAGGTGTGTTTGAATAACACTGAGAACCATTCCATAAAGATTCCAAACATAACTTCGCAACTAACATAAAGTCGAAGTCTGATACTTTCTGCCAATAACCTTCAACGACTTAATACCGTGCTTGAGATGTCAATTCACATTGAATTTTGACCTCAGTAGAACGTGATCAATAAAACTCAGTACTAAGCACTAAAGAAATACAACATTGATCAATCGGCTAAGAGATTCTATGGAAGGCAAGCCTTGATGGAAGCTTCTTTGAGTGTAATATAGGATGATGCGATTTTTAATCTCACAAAAATTATCAGATTTCTCAAAATTGAAGGTACACCTTGATGATAAGTATCTACTAGGTAAGATAGCGTCTAGTACTATGTCAAGTCCACGTAGGTTATTCTAGCTTCTGGATAGATAAATTTATCCATTCTCCCCAAGTTACATTTTGATATTTTCACATATTTGCTTTATAACCCTGACGGTTTTTATATGATCGAATGTGTGTCAATTGCTTGCCTTATTCTTTATGCGTCTTTGGCTTATTTTAGGTCTGACTATAAATGTCGAGTTATGCTTAGTCGAATCGACTTGGCTCACTCGCCTTCACCGCTGCGCGTAGCTTCATTTTTTATTTTCCCAACTACATTAACCGCCTTGTTTCGTCTCTCTGATTGTCTGCCTGGACCAACGAATGTATGAAATAAACGCATAAGCAATTCGTTCTCGTATTTGGCTTCGTTAATCTTTAACGCTAATTAAATCGATAAAAACGTACGAGGGTTGCAGCATTTATATTTCGATAACAATCAGCATGCGATCTAACCGGACTCAGATATAGAGACACCAAAAGATTTATTGTAAATCGTCATTTAGTGAAATATTTGTGACTTCTAAACTCACCAGAGTATTATTTTGATTCACTACATTCTGTATTAGATTTTTACTTCCTTTGTAAACTTAAATATCTGCCCTTATAACTACAATGATTTTGTATGATAAAACACAATTACCCCTACGAAATAGTTATACTTTAGCGGTCCTTAAAAAAATGAATCTAACCTAGGGGATTTTCATCATAAATATGTATGACAAAAAATACAAAATTGCCTTTTATATTCTTTGTGCTGTTTAGATAATGATTCCAGCCTGTCTTTAAGTACTGAACAGTCAAATATTATAATTTATTATTGGAGTTAAATTTGGAAATGTTACGGTTACACTGCCCAAAATGTGACTTGGATAAGTGATACCAAAATTTCAAGTTAATATGAAACTTGCAAAAATAAAATTATGTTACAATAAGCAAGGATGAATAGTGGCTAGCAGTGGGATTCAAGATGAGCGTTTCGCCCTATTTGGGACTCGTCAGCTGAACGTACCTGCGTCCTAAAGTTGATGTTCATCCAGGACTCGAACGCAGTACCGTTTGCTTCGAACGCCTTCTCGTTATCCACTTAGCTAATGAGTCCGGATAGCCACCTGCTTGTGCAATGAGTTGAAGTTTAATTGACTTGGTATTGTTTGCTTGTATCCTTCCACTGTTGCTTAAGATTGAAATTGATCAGTCTCTTGTTAGAATATGCATACTCTGCTGATTGCCTCGATATTGCCTTAAGTCAGCAGATGAGCGTCCTGGACTCCACTCTTAGCCACTATCCATCTTAGCTTATAAAGTTTGTGACTTAAGGCAATATCAAGGCAGTTCGCACAGTCTGCACATATGCCAATAAGTGATTGATGAATTGCAATCCTAAACAACAATGGGAAGATACAAGCAACCTATACCAAGTGAATCTATTATAATAATGCTCATCTATCTATTATAGACATGTAAAATTAAATCCAAACCGAAATGTTGAATGGAAAACACAAAAAGAATAAGAGTTACGTTTTTAAATCATATCCAATATGCATTACTCACCAACTCAATAAATAGTGTAACATTTGAAAGTGTTAGTTACAATAATCCAAAAAAGAAAAACCAATTCCATCTAACTTACTATATCTTTAATGGATAATTCTTTTTGTAAAAATATTTCACCAGTATTTTCTCTTATAACAAACATTGGATTGATAGATTGTTTATGATTAAATGAAAATAGAATTTTTCCATTTGCACCAATATCTTTATCAATTGCTTCAACTTTTGTTATTAAATGACCTGGAACATCATTATATGATATTTCCACCTATTATTAAACAAATGATATTATGATAATAAACTTTGATTTATAAAATATTATGTTATAACCTTACTCAATAAAATCCCTAGAGTTTAATGTTCATATTGTGGTGTAGGCTACTTATATCCACATAAGTAGTATATAATGATAGTAGGGCATTGAATGTATTTCAGTAGAAGATCGATAAGGAAAGAACGAGAACGAAACCCAATTGGTATGAAAATGCACAGAACAATAATGATCGGAGGTGATGGACGGATATTTGCAGAAGAAACAGTCAAATTGAGACAATTGATTGATAGTTTGCAAATTAACTGTTCACTATATAGTTCTCATATTTGAATGAGATATTCTGTAATTTTATGCTAAAATACATTCAATTGTCCCCACTCGTCTTCTTATTAGACTACTGAATCGTGATTCAGTTGAATAGTTATTCACCTTTAATAGATTTTTAGAGAGTTAACCGACTTAGTTAAAGGATAGGAATTACAAGAAAAATGTACGTTCACATTTTACTAATTAACCAAACAAAATTTTGTTTTCGAAATGGATTTTGCCTATTTATACTGTTGCAAACATGTTGTTGTGGAGATTTTAACCATTTAGTCCAACTTCACTTGGCATTGCTTGTTTGAATCTTGATTAGTCTACCGGAGTGAACATCAACTATAAGATGCAAGTACATCCAGCTGACGAGTCCCTAATAGGACGAAACGCGAGTCCTGGATTCCACTGGTAGCTCCTATCTTTATTTGCTTATTGAACCCAACTTTTAAACTATTGTGGAATATCTCACTGACTAATTTCATGTATAAAAATGAATTGGGATAAACAGTTTATTAATCCTTAAAATTGATCATTATTAAGCAGGAAGAGAAATGTAATCCATTCTCAATTCAAGAGATCAGGATAAATTTGTAATAAAGGTATGATTGACAATTATTTAAAAACAAAAATCAGCAAATTTTATTAAAAATGGTTATCTTCTCCAATTCATGGATGGGAAACCGAATCAATACATAAGGCTAATAGACCTCAAAAAATAAAGATGAGGACTGTTTACCAACACTAAAATTAAAAAGTAAATGGTGCAAGAGATCTTCAAAGGTGACTGTCAATATCTCGAAGGAAAACCTATACACCTGAGCTCGGAATAATATTTTCAAATCGATAGGCTATTCTGACGATGTGTCAAAGATGGACTGTCACTTGGGTCGCCTGAAGCTTATCGCACCAGTTTACTTGACTTTGTACAGTAGGTTATATCAGCAATTTAAGGCATGCTATATCTTGGCGGTTCTTCAAATATTACTTTGCTTGGTTACTCACAAGTAAATATAGGTAAATCAACAGCTTATTTCTTGAATACCTCTTCAACTTTAATTATATGCTCTTATCAAAAATATCTTTTAAAGTCTTCTGTGAAGTCTGGCCAACCAGCACACAAAGTATGTGCTTATCTAAAAAAACATTCGTACCTCATTAGTCCCATTATCGAATGGTGGTCTTTGAAATACCGGTTCATTATCATTAATATCTAAGATGGTTATATGAACTTGTGCTGTAGCTGTAAGTTGCTTTTCCGGCGTTTGTGGATTGTCGGTAGCTAAAACTTGAAGTAAAAAGGCTGGATGTGTTTCACGATCAATGCTTTTTGTTGTTTTTACGTAACCATCTTCTGTTACCTAAATGTAATAAAATGTAAGAAAATATTTTTGTTTGCTTAAACAATCCATCTTCAATAAGATAAATTCTACAAACAGTAGTGAAAAGATGAAAAAATATAACGATTAAACTACTTTTATATCCATCTTTCAGCTAACAGATTCTGAACTTTGTCGAGAGCAGGTAAATTAGAAACCAACATTTTCGGTCACAGGTGGGTTAGGTAGCAATCCTTTTACTCCAGAGTTTGGTAAATACTGGTGATTAGTCAGAATATTCTTATTGATTAATGTGTTCTGCTACTGGACCAATCAGCTCAAATCATTTAAAACAGTATAATTTCTCATTATTAAGAAATATATAAAGAGTAACATTTTCCCTGAATATAAATCGTTCGCTTCTATTATAAATCACTGGTGACTAAGTAGCTAGACATCATGATGGGTTTTCTCTAACATCTGATAATTATGGTGAATCCACAGAGCTCAAAATCTCAAGGTGCGATAGAATTCAAAAATCACTACGGTCTAAACATAATCAGGATTAGCGTGATATTGTAATTTGCGTTCCTTGAAAATAGTCATCAATAGGCTTATTAGTAATACAACTGTTTTATAAGTCACCTCCAAGGATAGACTCGATAATTAGACATTGGGTAAGTGGTTAACATTATAATAATGATATATTCCAATGAGTAGTAATTAGAATTTCCGATGTTTTGTAACGTAATATAAGCCACTTATACAGAATAAATAAACAACTAACCGAATTATACTAATAAGAGTTTAAATAATGTCGAGGAACAAGGGAGAATATTTAGTTCAATCAAAACAGGTCCAGTTATGTTGATGTCACATAAGCTGGATCAAAGTGATTCTGTGTGAAATATCACCATGTGCATTTGTATGTATGCTGGTGAATATGTGAAGTGTAACATTTATAATGTGAAGGAGTAGAGTTGAAATATTTGCAGTTGTGTATATATCTCAAACGTGTGAAAAATAAATAAAATTAAGTGCAGCTGTTTGGATCAACTGTCCAATTTAGATGAATAGTTAGGCTTTCCTTATTGTTGAAGACAAAAAGATTTAACATTATATGAAACATATCAGTTATTTACCTTTATTTATGATTGAATAAACCTTTATAATTTCGATATTTTGGTAGTTTCTAGGAATATCATGTACTACAACTGTCGTCTTAATTTATGAATTTTCCAGTTCTATCAGAGTCTTCGGTCATTTTATTTAGCTTAAGATGTTGATATCAATAATCTACAAAATTTGTTGCATATTTTAAAAATCTGATTCAGTGGAGAGATTAACTTTGCAATTGTTTATTTATTTATTTAATTTAAACACATAAATATTGGTACAATGAAGCACCAGATAAATATGCGCCTCACAAATCTCATTTGATTTGTGTGAGGGCTGTGATACTGCCCAGAAGCCCAAACTGAAGCAGGTGGTTTTCTTGGGGGGGGGGGCAAACCCCGAGCCTTTGACCTAAAGGTCTAGTCCGTAAGGTAGTGGAGCATCGTAAGGAGATGCAGTCCCATGGTAGCCGGTGACCAACAGTTGGTTCATACGCCATTCGTTCCATCAGGATCCTGGAGCCCATGTGCACCACTGGTTTGGAATCAGGGTTTTCCAACTCCCCTAGGTGGACTTTCCGTGTCCACCAGCCCGGTTAAAGCGTCGGACATTCGCTTTTCGTCCCCTCAATTTCGTGAACAACAGTAATGCCACGAGAAGGCAGTGAGTAGGACTTTCCTGGTAGAGGCTATATACGCGTGGCCATGTGAGAGCATTTCGAGAGGGAGGGTGGCCTCTCCTTTCTCTCCGCCGTACCAGGGCATTTGGGGGCAGTTGTGGATCCAAAATAATCCCAAATGGACTGAGAAATTGATTATTTTTCTTGACAATGAGATTAATATAAATTCCTACATAAAACAATAGCCAAGTTTCTAGTTTGTTCTCTAATAAATTGCATTAAGAAATTGACCGTATACTTCGTCACTTTTAATCATGACACATCTACTGTATAAATATATTAGACAAGGAAATTCTCCAAAAGAAAATTATGGTTGAAATATATGTTAGCTAGGTTTTGTACACAAATACCAACCATCTCTAACAGAGAGGGCGGAATGAACATCTCTACAAATAAATAGGCTGCTAATAGACTTAATTAGCTGACTAAGTTGTTGTTTGCCAATTTTAATTACATCAATCTTTGGCGTATTGTTGAACTAGCACACACACACATTTTATAAATTATGTGATATAAGAATTTTCTTAAATCAATTAATCCCTTTGATAAACTTCGATAGAGTAATGAGAATTTTTCTTATTCCCTATTCCAGTTAACCAATGTCAAATAATTTTAAGTTATTAGAACTCTATATCCCCGTTTCACTCAAATTGATTATAATTCGGTTAAATCTGATGGTTGACTAGTGGTTATTCTATGACCTGTCAATATTAAATAACTCTATTCCAAAAGAATTCAGTCTCATCCAGAATAGACTAGTGGTAGCTCTCATAGTGTAAAACTGGGTGACACAGGTTCGAATCCCAAGGAGATCACTTGTGTCCTCAAAATTACGGGTACACGTTGCTGACAAGTACTAAGTACCACGAGAACTAGGTTCAAGGTGTCATGCTGACCATCCCCAATCACCTAGAATCTCAAGACGTTCAAAAAAGTGGATGATAACAAGGTTTTCTTCTTCATCGCATTCAATAACCCCTTCAAGCATAATTTTACAAAAGGCACTGAAAAAATGATTATGTCTCTTATTCCGTAAGATGTAGTTAACTAAACACGGATCTAGAATTGACATCTTCAATTTGAAAACTTCGTTGTATCTTGAATACCAGGATAACCAATGAAAAATAGAGAATACTTAATGGCCATTTCTTCCTAGCAGTGCGTGCACCAACAAACATATAAGCGATCAAACGCAGATTTGTAGTATCGGTTGTTATGTTAAGCCCATATACTTTATTCTAGTTACTGGTCAAGCCAATTCACCTAAACATCATGAGTCATATTTTGATCTTGTTCATTATTCGCTTACTAACTTTGACTACCTTTTTATATGAGCGTATATGTGTACCCTTCGTATACTACTCATCATATGTCTGTCATTCATTTTTGTCTGATCATAAATATCGAGTAGCGAGTTGGCTTCCCAGCCATCTCCAATACGTATCGTTTTCGCTCCGTTCGATCACGAAATTACGAACGCGAAGCAAAATTGGTAACTTCAACGTACGAACATAATTGGTAATCCTGACTAGCGAACACGCAACATATTTGGATGCCTCGCCGAGATAAACACAACATAATTAGATGCCTCGCCGAGATAAACACAACATAATTGGAGGCCTCGCCGAGATAAACACAACAGATTCTTAAATTCTTAAGGTAAGCACGTTCCATTTAGGACTCTCAGTTGAAATTAGATGGTCAAGATTCGCAGTATCAAGCAATATAAGGAGACATTTAACCTATCTCATTTGTGGTATCTGTTTCATTTTAAAATGGCTGAACTCCAGTGATCATAGATTCCAAATAGAGTCTCGAGAATTCATATTAAAATTTCGAAAACTGTTTACGTTAACTATATTCTAACAAACATGACAACTAATTTTTGGGTTAATAATTTAACATGTATGTATATCGTACGAGATTGTACAACACTGGTGATGATCTAGTCGCAAAATAGATCCTTTACACTGAACTAACTGTTTGGATTGTTTGCATAAAATAATAAATGCACAAAAAATAATAAATAAATAATAATAAATGCATTTTATTTTCATGTATTCCTATAAAATACGTTCACATCTGTTGAAGATCATTTTCCATTTTCAAGCATTACGAAGGGCAAATTCAAATAGATTTTGGAATTCTATTTCGTGTCAAAAGTATACACCACCACAAACTATTCTATTTTTTCAAATGACAGGTGAAGTTATCCGTCAAGTTTTCAAAATTAAAAGGGTGTTTTATATTCAGTGTTCCCGACACTTCTTGTTTCATTAAGTTGGTTAGTGTTGGTTAGCATAATATAATCGTCACCAGAGATTTCATTTCAAGCCTTCAATATCAATCTGTTTTGTTTATCGTCCTATATGTTGGTGTGCTGAACACTAACACATTCATAGAACATGAAAGCTGACAGCGGTAGATGTTTGAAATTAAATCTTTAGTGTGAATTACACCCTTAATATCCATCATTCTCCAACCGAAAATGAAATTAAAAAATACCTGATAGTATTGAATAAAACATCCTACTTGAACATTAAGAACGTAATGGATAACGTCAGAACTAATGAGTTAATTAGTGTTATTCAAATTAAGAAATGAAATATATTGGTAGACAATATAAATTTTACCAACTTGAAATGGATGATCCATTTTATAATTTATTGTAGTATCAAGTGAATAAATTAACTGAGCATTCAAACCAATATCACAATCAGTTGCTTTAACTTGACCAATTACATAGGATTCAACTGTATAATTCATTTCTAATTCTTCATCTACTGAAAAATGATAATTAATTTGTGTAAATATTGGACGACAATCATTGACATCAATTAAAGCAATTTCTACATGTGTTGATCCAGATAATTGTGGTTCACCATTATCATGTACATTTACCTGTAAATTAAAAGAAGAATTTTCAAAAAAATGTTAATCATTCTCTGATTACATTAAGTATATTCCGATAATTAAGACTTATCTCCATAATAAACTGATAATCAGTCAAGAGGATTCCTTTATAATAAAGATGTATTTCTGCCCTCTGAGCTGGATGGTTTGGTTGTGGAGTTTTCATCGTTATTCTGAACGACATCATCAGCACAAACTTCAGTTAAAAGTGAATTATTCGGATTTCTCCACATATGGCTCACAGCTTGTCCTGTAGACCAAAATTATCCATTAATTCTAGTTTAAAACACATTCACAATGTGTGCTGGTGAGTAGGTATATTGTAATGTAGAATGGAATTCAAAAAAATGAAATAAACTGACTAATTTTCAGCTTTTCTGATTTCATTCAATGATCTAGTTAAATAGTATTTTAATTTCCAGTATTGGGACCGGAAATGATATCTGTGGAAATAATTATAATGGCACAACCTGAAATCTCTAGTCATCATGTATTACGTACAGTTAAATATACTATTTCTATGGTTACTCTCATTGTTTAGATTATATTCTGTTGAATCAAACAATATTTTTGGCTGAATGATTCTTTATGGCAGTTTGAATAACTTGTTTACTGGTTAATTTCCATTTAACATTACAATAGTTATCCTTGATTTTCAAATGGAACTTAAAGATGTAGAAGTTGACGAAAAATGAAGTGAATGAACAGTTTAAACATTTGACTTGTAAGGACTGGTAAGGAGGCACAAACACAAATATATGTCCCAAATTGAACAAGCTTTTAATTATATGAAATTAATTTACTTTCAAATCTGAAATCAAAATTAGGTATTTCAAAACAAGCATGGTGATTTTTACAACAACACTTCATTCAATTATACTTCATACAGTTTTATTCTTTTCATTTGTAATGTCATATTGGTAACTCGGATGATTGCAGTAATTATGTTTTTGTGCTGCTTAGTAATAAGTGTCTAGCTTCCTGGTCGTTACGACATTTAGATCAATCTATTATGAATTTTTTTCTCTAAAATGAAGAATTGTTCAGTAAATCATGAAACTCAGTACACGGTGTCAGTACACAGTATTAGCATAGTTAATGGTTTTGAAATGACTCAGGCTATATCATCATTGGAAGCGAGTATGAAAGTGATCGACTGTGCTCTTCCATGACGCCATAATATATCGAACTCAAGGCTTTCATGCCTCTATAGCGGTATTTGAATAAACTGGAATGAAGTATACAAATGAATTAGGATTAAACGTAAGATCTGGAGGCTCTAGGTTCGGTCACCGCTAAGGTCATGGATGTACGCTGTCCCATACAAGAACCAAACAGTTTTCCTGGTTTCCAATGGTTGTTTAACTAAGATCACTCCGTTGTGTAAACTTTGGACATTTAAAACTCTTTTTTATGTTGGCTACATCTTTCTCAAACATTTGAATACAACTTTGACAATCCTTACATCAATGTTGAAACTATTCCTCCTTACAATTTATCATCATCAACTGGAAAATGAAATTACTCTTAGGTCCTGGGTTCGAATCTCGCGAGGTGGGATAGTGGATGCTCACTTCTGAGGAGTCCCACAATAAAATGAAACGGCCGTCCAGTGCTTCCAGGTTTACCTTAGTGGTCTAGCTTCTATTGACTCATGGTTTCAACTATGAGACTAGATAATTGTTTCATTCTAATATGAAATACTCAGAAATAAGCATGCATGATCTAGTGAGAGATTAAACCTCCCAATCCTTGCTGTGAGCATTTAACCTTCAAACTAATAAGCTGACATCCAATGGTTTACATTCGATTATGTTATTAGTGTTTTAATACAAATGCCAAGACAGTTCTACTGTATGGGGCGGACACGTGGTGAACTACGAAAGCCATCATCCAGAATATACAGGTGTTTATTAACAGTTGTCTACGCAAGATACTTCGAATCCGTTGGCCAGACACTATCAGCAACAAGTTACTGTGGGAGAGAACAAACCAGAAATCAGCGGGGGAAGAAATCAGGAAAAAGCGTTGGAAGTGGATAAGACATACTTTAAGTAAATCACCCAACTGCATCACAAGAAAAGCCCTCATATGGAATCCTGAAGGCCACAGGAGAAGAGGAAGACCAGAGAACACATTACGCCGAGAAATAGAGACAGACATGAGAAGAATGAACAAAAAATGGATAGAACTAGAAAAGAAGTCCCAGAACAGAGCGGGTTGGAGAAAGCTGGTCGGCGGCCTATACCCATTGGGAGTAACAGGCGTAAGTAAGTTAGTAATTAATGTTATTAGTGTTTTAATAACCATCAAAACGAAACGTTTAACGTAGTAAAAAAATACATTTAAACAACAGCAAAAACCTTAAACGGTCGTTGTATACCTCAATTTAAATTCCTACAGTTTATGTATAATTATAATCATTTTAAGTAGTACAAAAGAAAATTGAATAAATTACATGGAGATACTTCCTTTCTAAAATTCTTTACATGTCTCAATTTAAACAGATCAGACTACAATCTAAGGTTTGTTTTCTTTTTTTGAAAAAAAAACAACTCATTATTCTGACATTGTTCACAACTTGTAGAATTAAGAAAAACATCCTTTAATGGTAAAGAACTCTAAATACACTTTTTTTTTTAAAAAAGTTATCCTTATCCATTAGGTATAGTGAACAAAATGAATAGCATTGTAATGTTACATAATACAAGAAAAGTATTGAAATGTTTTGATCGAAAACAATTAATGACACTTAGTTGTTAACGTGACCTTGAAGTACGAATAACCAAATGCAGAGTTTAATCAACTAGTAAAGAAGAAATCCATGATGATAGTTGAGGTTTATACATTTTCAATTATAACATAATAAAACATAAGGAAATAATAGTAAACCGGATTGGTCTTGATATTTTTATAAAACCATACTTGGTTAAGGTTTCTTATCAATGAATAAAACTCCGCCTGTAGACCCTCGGGGGCAACTGCCAGTCTCATGCCCGGATAAAGGAGGAGGATTGGGTATGGGGTTAACCACATTGTATGAGACCTAGTATTCTGTCATCAATTTTGGCTAAGAAAATGCACATAAACAGAAACCGTACAAACTGGGAAAATATTACAAACATGTACGCCATTATATGATTTAGATGAACATTTAAATACTCTACAAACTGATATCTCGTTTTGATAATTTATGAAACTTTTAGGATCACATATCGTGATAATTGATGCTTTTACAGCTGCAATTTATTTTACGCTGACTTAAGTCGACCTGGGTTTTTTACTTGATCATTTTAACTCTATTTCCTGCTCTAATGGTAGCCTCTACTTTTATATGGTAGCTGGGCTTACCTGTGGTAATGAACTAGATGAGCTACATTGGCTTTATTGTTCTTTTAGGTCCTATGAGATCAGATAGGTCGGTTTGAGAACGTTGGGATCAAGCAACAACTTGAAGTTTGACAACCAAGTCGTACCACTGGCTTTTTGGAAGTGTGAAAGTAGTCAAGATTTCCTCTGACATAACCACTATCTCCATTGATACTATTTTCCTATTGACGAAGAAAAAGGTTGGACAAGATCGACTCTAGAAATAGCGTACCTCAAGTTGATCAAGAGATTTATTGTGTCGGCAGTGACGTCTTTTAAAAACAGAGCTAATACATCGAGGATTGTGCGATTAAGGTCGTGTGTATCTGACTGAAAGTAAATTTCCCTTAAACTCTTTAGTCACGCTACTAGGCCAACAAGACCGCTAGTAATCTAGTTTCCTTTACAAGAATGTTAAGAGAAAATATTTTTCCATGGCTTCGACAACTACGAAGTTAAACTGCCCATATTCCTATGACTACACTAAAGATATCTTTATTCATACACATTTTTGTCAAAATGTCTATAAAGTTCTCAGTAAAATCTCAAGTGAGATCGTAGGTTAATCACTACTGATCATTTCTGAGCTATAACGGAACGACCAGGCAGCACTCTACAATTCAGGAAATTATGAACTGGGAAATTTTGGAAATTCATTAGTCGGTGAAATTCAAGTAATGTCACGGAATCTCTGCAAGGACAGAATTAAGTTCAGTCTGCAATCAATAGACACATAGGCTTAGACTATTTATCAACCTATGGGATGAAGGCCAACTGATAACATGACCAAAGATCAGCAAAAACAGTCAATAGTCATTCAAAAAGAGGTGAACCTGACTAAACTTCAAAGACAATTGTTTATGAGTTAAATCATTAAAACAAGTTGATTTAGCACTTGTAGAATAGTAAAAACGTTCACTTCTATCTGTAGTAAAGGCTGATGGAACTGTTGTCAAGATGAATAATGAAAGCTTTGAAAGTAAACTACGTAGTCAACAAAACACAATATAACCAAACATCATTCAACTTGTCTGATGATATCAGTACATAATGATAAAAACAGCCATTAACTAGTCTAAAATTAGCAACTAGTTAGTTAACTACTAACTGCATTCCTTTCACATTGTTCAAAAACCCGCCACATCGAATTTTATCTAATAAGTTGACTTTTCTTTGAACAAGTTGAAGTTAGACATTAACATCATTGACTACCAGCTCAGCGTTCGCGCGCGAAAACACTAGATCCTGGGTTCGAATTCCGTGAGCAGGATCATGGATGCGCACTACTGAGGATTCCCATACTAGAACAAAACGGCCGTCCAGTGCTTCCAGGTGTTCTATGGTGATCTAGCTTCAATTGACTAATGAGTTCCACCATAAAATAAAATATCATTTATGAAAGAAATTGAACCTTTATATATTCACTGTTTTTCCACTTGTAACTCCATATGTTAATTTAAACAAAAATCGAATTAAACTGATTATCGAATCAAAGCTACTCATTATTCACTGATACTGTTTAGTTTTTATATTACTGTTCTCTCAACCATCTTGATTATTAAGAAAACAGATTTAAATAATTTGAATTTTGGTTTAAAATCTAATAATAATAAAATGGTCATTTGAATGAATGAATTGAACAAATAAGTAAGTAGATAAAACAACAACAACAATTCATTGAACATATTGAAATGAGATTAAAATCAAAATGAAATGATGTGGAATCTTTCTTTCTTATTGACCAACGAACATGTATATCATAGCAACCATAGACTAACTATAAATATATATACATCATTTTGTACGAATTTCAAAACTTTGCTGCGCAGTTTTTAAAAAAATCGCTTAACTTTTATTATCAATAAAGAAGTTCGTTATCGATTTGAATCGAAAATCTTTTGCGTGGATTGATTTTTATCATTTCAGTTTGTAAAAGTACCATTTTAGTAATGAACATTTAATTGTTGAATGTATGTGTTTATATGAAATGGAACTTGAAAGTGTAAGTGGAATGAAAAAGTCAAATTTTTTTTTGGCTGAAAAACAAAATACTATTTCCTGAATTAATTAGTTCAATATTCAAGTTTTTATTTTTGTTTTGGACTATTTCATTAGTACTAACCTCATATAAGTAGCTGCTGTGCATTTATTTTATCAATGTTGAATTGGCTTGTTTTGACTACTACATCTTTGATTGTCTGTCTCACTAAGCATTGTTATCGACATTTACCGTTTTATGCCTTTTCACTGACTTGTTAGCTTGTCTTCTGATAAACTAACTTATCTGAATGCTGTGGGTTCGTTAATACTGTGGAATTCTTAAAATTCTATTCATCTACAGATTTAAATCAATGTCCAAACAGTTCTACTACAAGTATTGATCGGTTATGTATTCCATAATGACAGTGAAAACTCAGTAAAAATACTCAGCTTACAAAAAATCACAACACTTCACTAAATAATAATCATTAAAATCTAACGCCGACTTGTCTACATTTTCTTCGGCATCCCTAGGAGGTTACAGATAGCGTAAAAGTTGCATGATAAATTGGGTGTACACCCAGGCAATTTTTCATGTATAAGGTTATACGTTAAATGTTTACCTCAGGGTCGATTTATCTACCTATGCATGCCCATAAGTGGTATTTACAAACTCATTTAGCGTCTGAAAATACAACTTTCACTGTTGTCTCGTTTACATGTTGTATCTACTTTAGTCAGAAGTGTGAGTTAGCAAGTGATTCAAATCAAAGGTTAAATCAACTTCATTCTAGACATAGAACATTATTCAGAAATTTATCTTAATGGTGAATATTACCATATAATTGATTATTATTTTCACGAATAACTCACAATAAAGTGATAACCTTCGGGTTGATTTTCTCTATCCAGTGGCATACGAGTTATTAGTTCACCTTTTTCATTAACTTCAAAAGGATTCGGCCCTTGTCCTGGAGGCCAGTGAATAGAATAATTCAGTTCACCATTTAATCCAAGATCAGGATCCAGTGCTGTAACTTCTCCAATCAATAATCCGATATCATTGGTTTCGGATACCTAATTTTTAAAATAAATGAATTTATAATACAAAATATTAAATTATGTCTTGTTTGAAAAAAATAACGATTGCATAATAAAAGAACCAAAATTCAACATTTCCAACGCATCACCTGAATAAACAATCTGCTTGTTCACTAATAGACTTTCAGTAATACAGAGTTTAATCTGCATTCAGTTTAGATATGAACACTTGCTAACAGTAATCATGTCCGTTGAACAAATGATCAGCTGTATGAATTTAATAGCTTAATGGATAAAACATTTACGTTTGAATTGATCAGTGGATATGAATTTTAGTATAAAAAACAGGAATTTAGATTCAGGAAAACCTAGGTGACAAGTCCATACTTGGAAAAAGTGCTTATCTGGGATTCCACTGCTAGTTACAATTCAGATATACGGAAAATCTAAAATGAAGATGATATTAAAATATCCGCTCGCATAGATCACATGCTAGACACCGATCAAAATTTTAGTCCATCTTATAAACTACGGTAAAAAATGGTACTGACGTTTATTTGTAGGGACTGTTCAAACCTTACCATTGTTGATGCCAAGGACCGTCTTTGATCAATCTCTTTTAGCACACGTTCATTCTTTGAGGATTGGCTCAAAATCATAATTAAGTCACAATTATTTTAATTAGCTCTGAATAGCGGAAAGCCGTGGAATCCAGTGTAGTGTTCTGTTCTATTTGGTACTGTGTTCAAGTTCCCGTGTTAACATCAACACTGCAATGCAGGTACATCCAGATGAACATTCCCAAATAGAACAAAACGTGCAAGCCACCATCTAACTCTGTTTATAGAAAACTTAATTACTAAATTACTATGATATTTTCAGCATTTTAGATGGTCTTTATGTGGTCATTTTGAGTCTATTATCTGTATTTATTTATGAAAAGTTAATTATCTAAATAACTGTAACTGCTTTTAGTCGATGACTAACAGTTGTTTCATCCTAATTTGTTTTCCCTCAATAGCTTACACTCAAATTTTTATAAGAGTAAAGTAGGTCCAATTAATTCCAGATATCTTTTAGAGGAGGATACCATAAAGTGGTGGATTACTGCATACCGTCTTTGATGAATTTGTTTTGTTTAACTGACGTATTTATTTACCTAATAGCACATTCATTCAGCTGGTTAGTAATTTTGTTTTCCGTTATCATTTTGGTGAAGATTTAGAGTTAGATTTCACTAGATAATCATCAGTTCGGTCCATACACACAGTCCAGAATTTTATAATATCAGTAGTTGATAAATTCTTTCGTTGAACTATAAATTATAATCAACTGTTAATGAATATGTTAAGGAAAATGTAGCTATATTTTTAGAAGATATTTAATAAAGATTGAATATAGGTAAAGTACCTGTGAAATGTAAAGTCTCCTGGGTAGTTATTTTGTTTTGGTATGAGGCTTTTCAGCAGTGTTTTCCCATACTCAGTTAAAGGTCAAATCCTGAACTTTGATTCTTTTCTCATCGTAAATAAATGCTGCTGAAGAACCCCATACTAGGACAAAAGAGCTTTCCAGTGCTCTTTGATTTTTAATAGTGCCTCAACTGAGATAAGTCCATGACAAATAGACCATATACATCGGAGAATATATATATATACATACATACATATATATATATATATTACTAGGTGTAGAGCTATAATAAAGAATCGATCGAAAAGAAAACTGTAATTTGAATATGCCTTCTTTTGAGTTGACTTTTATATGTTCCATTCACAAAGACTAATTATCAGATATGAAATAGCTTGAATCTATTATTGCTTACCACTAATTTATCAAATTTAACTGTGTTAATGCAATTTTCAAATTTTGTAAGATTTTACTTCTGTAACCAACACATATAACTAGTTCATTATGATATTAAGTTATTTCTTCCTAATATTTAGCAAGGGTTTGCAAGCTGCATTCTTAATAAAATGTAACGTTGCAACATAAACTGTACTCGTAGTTTAAAATAGGATCATTGATAGTATCTATCAACAAAATGAATAAGAGCTCATCTAAGAAAACATTTTATCAACCATTATGTGTTGTTGCTGAAACTCTACTGTATGATACCCATAAAATGTACATTAAACAAAAATGTTCTTCTATAAGAACTGATTATAGCCAGATATTCAATGAAAACCAGATAGAACAAGACAATTATTTCATCATAGTATATGACTCCATAGCATTTAGAAATTCCTTTTTTTTTCTATTGGCATATGAATTATTACCATTGAAATGCTTTTATGTAATGATTATCCGGTCTATTCTAGTTTCTATTCGTTGAATGATATTTGAAAAACCCTCAGTTGTTCATAAATATAAATAAACATAGGTATCATTACCAAATATATATATATTATATATATATTATTTATTTATAAATAAACATAGATCATCTGGAAACCCCAATACTTTATTCGTTCTTTACGAAGATATAACAAGTATGACATTCATAATTTCCCTGATTATTATTTTCTTTCCAACCATAGATTGTGTTATCTTTTTTATATTTTATGACTTAAATCCGGATAGCAATGATTATATTTATGAATAATATGCAAAGATGGATAGTGGCCAGCAGTGGAATCCAGAACAAAGCACATTTCGTCCTATTTGGGACTCGTCAGTGAATGTACCTACATTTCAGAGTTGATTTTCACTCTGGGACTCGAACACAGTACCGTTTGCTTCAAACGTCATTGCTTTATCCACTCAGCTACTGAGTCCTGATAGCCATTTGCTTGTCAACTGCTAGTCAGTATCCATCTTTGTTTTTTAATGCTTGTGAATTAAGACTATATCGAGGCAATACGCACAGTATGTACATATGGCCAATAAGAGACTGACCAGTTGCAGTCCTAAACATCAATGCAAAGATTCAAACAAACAATACTAAGTGAATTTATGAATAATATGTTTGTTAATTATTTAAATCCATTTCTATTATCGTTTTAATTTTCTTTGATTAGATCAATAATGTTGTGTGTTGTTTTTGAAACCTAACTAATAACATGCTTATTTACTACTTATATTACTACTACTTATATTTACTACTTATATTTTAAAGGTATAAAAATTAAATTGTCGGAAAATTTACCGTTGGAAAAGAAACAACATTTTTTTTTCATTTCATTGGTTTCTTTGATATTTTTTTCTAAAAAAATTTTTTTTTGTATTCTCATATTTAATTATTAATTAAGATTTAAAAAATAATATAGCACTTCTAGTAACCCGAAATGAGACTGTATCTTTAAAATGAGTCTTGGATACTTCCGTAAAATAAAATTTAAAAAAAAACAATCAATTAAGATAATATGACCAGGTAACTGAAACTATTTAAGATAGAAAACAATTTAGTTATTAAACTGCGAAAAAAATATTTAATGTCTGTTTTTCCAATATGATTTTGATTTTGATTAAAGTTTAATGGTATCTTATTTACAATGAGATTTTAAATGCCTAGATACTACATTTTAAATGGACATCTCTTGGTGTTGTTTAGTGTTGTTGACTAATTGATAAAGGATATAATGAAATAATTTAGTCGAGTAAACTAATGAAGATTAGTTTAAGGTATGATTTCTATCTGTAATTGAAAACAGTTGTATAACCATTGAAAAACAGGTACAAATAAGTAGCTAGTTCATAAGCGATTCCCTAAATGTGTTTGTAAATCAATGTACTAGAGATAAAACCCAGAATATACAGTCATCTTTGGGAGTTTGCAACCATTAGATCTCTGTATAGATATCCAGTGGATAACTTGTTGAAATTCTAGTTAAAATCCATCGCCGTTTGATTTCATCCATTTAGGATGTGTAGCAAATATTAACATTGGTAATTGATAATAATTACATTCTATTTTGAATTAACTATAATTAAATGTGTGAACTATGTAATGTTATCTTCAATGGTATCTATTTATCGACCCCTTCGCTTGTATATCCTGAGTTCAATCTTTATCCAGGTAGTATGTGCACATTACCTAAGTGTACTATTATTTCTTTTAAAAATCACTAATCATTCAACAGTATGTCATTTTTAATATTTCACCAACTAACAGCAGATCACTTTAAACACAATATATATTATTGAAGATGTATTCCGCAAGCTAAACTTATAGTCCAACAAACTGTAAAGTTTTTGAAAAGTAACTATTATTATAAATGAAGAAAATGACCTGTATTTCGTCTTCTAATTAATATATTTACCGATTTAACGATGGATCATTATCTCGATGAACACTAGTGTTTGGATTATAATTATTGCTTAAATTGACGTAAATCAGTAAAATATTGTGTTTACTTTTCTAAAACAATATGTATTATCTATTTTTGTATTGGTTATTTGGATGTTCCCATTTGTGATTAGGAGTGCAGTTGATCAGTCTCTTATTGCATATGTGCATCCTGTGCGGGTTGACTCGATATTGCCGCAAGTTACAAACATTATAAGCAAAGATGATGGTGGTTAACAGTGAAATCCAAGTCGTGCGTTTCGTCCTATTTGGATAACGTAATGCGTTTGAAAGGAACGGTGCTGGGTTTGAGTCCCGGGGTTAACACAAACTCCGAGATACAGGTACGTCCAGCCGACGAGTCCTAAATAGGACGAACACAATCTCCTGGATTTCACTGCTAGCCACTATCATCTCTGCTTGAAATATTTACTATTGAAATCATTGTAACATGATAATTTCACATAAACTGGCCTATATTTTACTGTTTATTTTATCCTGTTTGATACTACTTATAGTTGGATTTATATCATCATTACTTTCCATAAATACATGATTAATTTATTAAGCACTCATCCCATTTTATTATTTCCTACTAATTTTATATAAATTTTTACGTATCTCACCCTATCTGACTCATATTTTTCGGGATCATAAATCTTACAATTTCGCTTAACATATAGGCTGATCCAAGTCAATACTGCATATAAATCATATCAAAATTAATAATTTTATTTTGTCTAACAAT